AGTATGTGGTGAGAACACTTTATTGAATAAACCTGCTGAGTATAATTTTCCCAAGAACTAAGAAAGAAAAGCCTCTCTCTAAGGCTCTCCTCCCTCTTTCAGAAATCCCAGCCAGCACCTATCTAATTACGTCTTGCTCTGACGGCAGCTTCTGCACATTGAACCCACAGGGATCTTGGTCTTTTCTGGGCTCCAGCCTGTTTGGGGAGCCCAGTGAAATCTGCTGAGACAAGCACCCTGGATATTTACTGATCACGAGGGCTGCTGCTTGCTAGGAGAGTTGGAAGCATTACATGGCCTTTAAAAGTTCAGATCTTGTTAACCAGGAGCCCCTGGGGTATGTCCAACTTCACTCTGGATCTCAAGGACACTGACTACAGCCTGAACACATTGGGCACCAGCCCAAGGCATAGATGGCACTCTCCTCTAGTTACACACTGCTGTAGTTATAAAATATGAACTGAAAATGCATAAAATGACCTGGTGCTGGAAGAGTCCAGTCATGCTTCTAAGCACACATGGATTTCCTTAGTTGCATACATCTATAGGACTGGGGATATTGCTCCACAGGAGAGCATTTGCACAGCAGGTACAAGGCCCTGGCTTCCATTTCTAGCATTGTAAGCAACAACACAAATGCTACCCCTAACCCAACAACACAAATGCTACCACCAACCAAATAACACAAATGCTACCCCCAACCCAACAACACAAATGCTACCCCTAACCCAACAACACAAATGCTACCCCCAACCCAACAACACAAATGCTACCCCCAACCCAACAACACAAGTGCTACCATCAACCAAACAACACAAGTGCTACCCCCAACAAAACCCGACAGTACTGCTGCAACTATAGCTGAATCTACATCTGTGTATTTTCAATGGTGGGGTGAATTCTTTTTTAAATTTATTTGATTTTTATATTTATTTGTTTGTTTTTTTGAGATAGGGTTTCCCTGTGTAATAACCTTGTTTGTGTAAAATCTCAATAGACCAGGCTGGCCTTGAACTCAGAGATTTGCCTGCCTCTGCCCCCAAAAGTGCTAGGCTAAAGGTATGTGCCACCACACCTGGCTCGATTTTTTTTTTTTTAAATTAAACATTAGGGGCAAAAATGAAAGTTATGGAACAACTGAGATATGGAGCACCATCCATCCTCAACACCCAAGGGCAGTGGTCCTTTATCAGGCTCAGCATCAGGGCGCAAATCTTCAGAACAGATCACAGGCGCAGAGGAAGCAAACAAGCACACTCCCCACCAGCTATGGGGGCGGGGCTCTGCCAGGGACCATGCCCTTCGAGAAGGGCTCACACCTAATGAGCTCTGACCTGGCATGTGGCACTAGCTGTAAGACCCACGCAGGAGGACAGGACTGCAGGTGGGGAGGCAGAGAAAGGGATTAGTGTCAGACCAAACTGGAAGAAAAGGAAACAAAAGGTTCCCTGCCTGCCTCCTTCTAGGTGCTGGGCATGGCTACGGCTTTTCTACTTGACATTACTTTTACAATTTCCAAGAAAAAAAAAATGGGAACACCTTAAAAATAAAAGGCCACTAAGGGGAAAAAAACAGGATGGGCCAGTGTAGTTATGTGTCCAAAGCCAGGGAGCCAGGGAAAGGCCTGGCACTGAGCCCAACTCCCTGGCTCTCACCCTCCTGTCCCAGGATCTTGCAGCAGACTGCATCACCCCACCCTTACCTGGTGTGCACGTGGAAGAATTACAGAGTGGCTAAGGTGACTCTAGCCGCCCCTGGACCTCCAGCCCTCCCCAGCAGCACACCACTCCTGGGTCTTTAATTGGCACTTGGGCCTCTTGCCCTTGGCCAGTGCCTGGTCCAGTCCCTGGCCCAGAACAGGAGTCTAATCAACATTTACCAATGACTGGATTCTCTCCATTGAATCTCGGTCAAATGCAAACCACACACAAGTGCATTGCACTCAGAAAAAAGGTTTACAGGGAAAGGTGGCTGAGAGACACTGAGAAGCTACCATCTGACTCTGTCATCTAAAGTGGGTATCTTTGCAGGCTGGTGAAGAATAAGAGACATTCATTTCTTACTAATCTGAGGGTCACAAATGCCTTAGAAACAGTGTTCACATAGCAGTGTTGTAGAGCAGTGGTAGGACATCTGTAACGGGGGGTAGGGAGACCAACTGTTTACGACCTAAGAGAGAGGACAGCAGGAGGAGGGTGAAGAGGAGGTTGTGTGGCTCTGTGACATGACACCCACGAGGCGGCTTCATCTGCCAAGACAGAGCCCAAATGCTGGCAGTGAACACCACTCATGAATATGCCCCGCCTGCCTTGGCTTTTGGAGCAGCACGAGGCTGCTGAGCACTAATGGCCTTGGAATGTTTGCCAGTGCCCAGCAAAACGGCCTTGGCACCAAGGAGACAGATGTTTGTCAATGAATGGCAGGGCCCGAGTCTATGGCACACAGCAGCCTGCTGGAGGCTGGGGGGAGCGGCTGCAGCCGTCACTCTCCATCAGTGCTAATCAATTTCACACCCTCTTCAATGCACATAATGGATAATCTTGGGAAGCACGCCAAGGACCCTAACAGCAGCATGCAGGCTGCCCCAGTGCCCAACTGTCTATGCTCCACCTCACACAAAGACCTGGTTGTGCCAGCACAACCGTTCGGCTGAGGTGGCTCCTCTAGGACAGCAGGCAGGAAGGACGCTCAGGGAAAGGACTGCTGGCTCGCTGAAGTGACACAGAAATGCAGTGGATGACGGGCCACACGGCAGCAGCTTCTCAGTGAGTCAGAGACTTTGCAAACACTTCTACTAGGTTTTCAGTCACTGAAAGGAGCAGCCACTCTCATTTAGGTAGAGAGGATAAGTTAGCTGCTCAGGAGGTATGAAACCCAGGCCTGATTCCCCACAGGTATGTGCCACTTTCTACCAGGCCTGGCCTCTCCTATCTTCTCCCGTCCCCAGAGGACAACTCCTTCCTCTTAGGTAGTTTTTGTTCTTGTTTGTTCGAGATGTAGCCCAGGCTAGTCTCAGACTCATTATGTAGTTGAGGATGACCCTGAACTCCTTGTCTTTTTGCATCTACCATGCAAGTGCTGGGATTAAATGAAAATGTTACCATATCCAGTATACACGGTGCTGGGGATTGACCCTAGGGATGCAAACGCTCCACCGACTGAGCTGCATCCTCAGGTCTTCTCCTTAGGTTTTTAATCCATCCCATTGTCCAAACAGCAGTTACTAAAGGATGGCCCACTGAACTGAGTGAAGTATTAAGGTAGAGGGACCTAGGAGGCACATGAGGAGCAGTGAAAGTCATGACGGGCAGCAGTTTCAAAGTGGAGAGTCTGCTTGGCAGGCTTTCTTCCGCCACTTAAAACCTGCTCCAGCAGGTTCTCTCAGGGACAGTGCCATGGCTATTCCCACACAGAGCTAGAGAACCTACATGTGTGTCTACTAGGAAAGCCTTCCTTATTATGACACCCTGCCAGTCACTCAGTGTTCCTCAAGTACCAGATGAGATGAAGGAGCAGGCCGAGGCGCTGGCCTAGGTGTCTAAGCCCAGCTCAGCATTTAGAGTCCCTGCCTTTATCTTGCAGCTGGATCTCTATGTGAAAGAAGAAAGTGCCTATCAATCAATTCAATCAATCAGCCAAACACCTGAGCACTTACCAGGCCTAGAGATCACAGGGAACTCACGGAGTGAGAAATAGTTATAGTCTACTGGCCTGTCTAGGTGGGGTGTGTTTTATGGCAGAGAGGGAGCGCTGGGCAGGAAATGGCAAAGAAACAGGTCTCACGGTCCCACATCTGGATCCCCCAGTTCCAGTGTAGCTGTGCAGAGCGGATGATCAGCTCTGCCTACCACTCGGGTGGGTGCCGAAACACTCCTGCTAGGCCTCAAATGCCCCTCCAAGGCCAGAACTGCGAGAGCCAGGAAATCAAGATCACAAGGAAACTCAGGCCTCCTGCAGACAGCAGGAAGAAGGGAAGCGATCATACCGTACTACGGCTGCACCCTGGGAGTGTCTGCAGGACAGAAAACAGACTGGACAATCGGCGAATGTGACAACCTGCCTTGATTAAGATGTGAGCTGAGTAAGCCACAGCGCTGCAGATGGAATGGTATGGAGGCAGGGGAGAAGCATGGGGGCCACCTAACAGAAGAATAGGAAACCCAGCCAGGCCCATGGCCCTCAGCAAGCTGTAGGAGCAGAAGACGGTAAGCCATGGCAGTCTAGGGTTTGGCCTGGCCACAGAGATGGAGACTTTATTTCCTGGACCGTCTGCGAATGCAAAGCTGGGTCTACTGACTTCTCAGCTTCCTCCTGCTCTCCTCCCCTGGGATTCCTTCCTTAGAATCCCCCCTCCCTACCACCACTTCTTCAACAACTTAGTCAAGATGGTACCAAATCCTGGCACTGTATTTGGGTACTTTTGAGAGTTGTGCTTGCCTAGGGCCTTGTCCCAAACTCCTAGGGTGACCTGGGTCAGTCCTACTACATCCTTCCTCCTAATAGCTCCCCACTTGCAGAAGGGCGTTACACCATGACTGTTAACTAGGTTCAGAGCCTCTGGGAAATGCACACCGGGTATGACTATGAGGGTGTTTTCAGAAGGAAGGCCTCCCCAGTGCCATCCCATGGACTGGGGTCCCGGGCTGAATAAAGAAAAGAAAGCAAGCTAAGCACCAGTATTTGCCTCTTCCTGCTTTGTGACTGGCTGCCTCAAGCTTCTATTGCTATGCCTACAGACTGATAGACTGTGCAGCCACAAACTGTGAGTCAAAACCAACTCCCCTTTCCTTAACTTGTCCGGTATTTGATCAAAACAACAATAACAGAAACTAATACATATGTACACCACAGTGGCTTTCCGCTCTGCCCTTAAGACATGTTAGGTGGCCCATGGCTGTAGAGGCACCTTTGGTCCACCTGTCCTGTGCAGAGAGAAAAGGCACACAAGGGACCAAATGGAGTGTGTCAGGAATTTGCAAGAAGTGGGCAGGGATACATACATGCTTCTCCCCTTCAATCTTCTTGTCGGCCACTTGCATTGCACCCAGATATTTAAAATGCAGCTCCATTAGCCTGTCAACCTGAAAGAGAACCACGGGCAGGAGTGAGAAGGGAAGAGCACCTCCCCACACACTTCACTGTCGCTGCCTGCTAAGGGAGACCCACCTTCTACCTCTGATATGAGGGATGGACATCAGGGACACACCCAGAGCAGAACAGGGTGCTGGTGAGAAAAGCACCCAGCATGCACCAGCTTGAACACACGCCCACTGCTCAAAGGAAGAGTGCTAGCCCCTCTAGGACTCCAGGGAATTCAAGTGTTAGCAATAAACAAATAAATAAATAAACATTTGAGTCTCTTCTTGCAAAGCGAAGGCACTTGAAGCTACATACTTGATATTCACTTAGAACTTAGATTTCTTTTTTCCAACTGAAACCTTTCATGTTCAGATTCTGCCCCAGAGCTGATCTTAAAAAAAAAAAAAAAAAAAAAAAAAAAGCCAGAGTAAAATCTTTTTAGTTGCTTTTGAGTCAGAAGAGAGAGCCAGAAAAACTCCTTCAGCAACCTGAAAAAAAGACTTTGACTTCTGTTCAGAAATAACTTGAGTCGGTTTTCAGCTTAGCAAAGCCATCCTGGAACATGGCCTGGGGACACCAAATGGGTTTGGAAAGGTTCACTTTCCCCAAGGCCTTCAAAGGACAGAAAGAGTGCCGCCTTGATGCTGGCCAGACTTCTGACCTACCCGCCAGGCTGGCGCCACCATAGCTGCTGGTGAGCAGTCTTTTTCTGCACTGGAGCTGATATCATGTTGCTTCAATGTAGCTGCAAACAGTCCAGGCAAATGCACCCAAGCCCCAATGCTTGGCAGCTGGTTGCGACTTGGTGACTTGATGCATTTCCCTTCACGTGTTTTTATGTCCATGATTTCCTTTACCATGAACAAGTATATCAGGTAGCAGGGACGTGATGTCACTCCTACTACAAAGGTGTGGAAATTGGAGCACGGAGCGTCAAATGATGTCACAGTGTACTGCTGAGATGCTCTGTGCTGTGGTACATTGCTACTGGGCAGCACAAACAGCTCATCTGAAGGCTGTGCCCCAGCCCTACCTTGGGTACAAGCAGGAATGTAATTATCATGGGTTACAATGGGGACTCTGAGCCGCCTTCTCTTCTGGAACTGCCTGTTATACACAGTGTGGACAGAGACACAGGCTCCTGTACTCAGCAACCCGGGTTCAAGCCCCAGCTCTGGGTATTAGTGGCATGATCTTGGGCAATCCCCGTGATGCCTCTAAGCTTCAGTTTCCTACTGAAAACATAGGTGACATGGACACTAGGATAAACGGCAGCTTCGGTGATGGTGGCGCCTTGTTCCCTATGCCCCAGCGTCATTCAACAAATGGTAGCTACTGCTACTGTTCAGATCTTCTGGCTTGGAATGCTTGATGGCGACACGAAATGCTCTCTGGTCTCACACAGCGTAGTGATCTCCACCAGCTTCTGCAGCCACCGGAGCTGCTCAGCATTTCCTTTCAAGACCCTTCTTTCCTCACCACCTAGTGAGAGCTCATCAAATCCGCCCGCCCCCACCCACCACCGAGTCTTCCAGAGTGGCACACACCTCTTCTGTCTTGCACATGCGTGAGCATGCGGAGGTCTGAGGTTGAAGCAGGTGTCCTCCTTGCTTGTGCTCCACTTTGCTTACTGGAGCAAAGTCACTTGCTGAGCCAAAGCTCAAGGACCCCAGCTAGTCTAGTTAATGGCCAGCCAGCTTGCCCCAGGGATCCCTGGGCTTTGCCTTCTGTGTGCTGGGATCAGGGTGGCTCCCACACCTGTCCAGCTTTTACATGGGTTCTGAGTTTCTAAACTCTGGTCTCTGTGATTATATGCCAAGTGCCTGAGTCATGTCTGTAGCTCACATATCTAGAAAACAGCAAAACAGTTTTAACTACAGCATGTTCTCAGTCACCTGGCTATGCTGTGCACTCCACTCTACCCTGAACTAAACCCTCTTATACTCTCCTCTCCCAGGTCTGAAAAGCCCCCGGTGTCCACTGCTGCCACCCCAGGAGGCACTGGCATTCGAGGGGAAAGGACATCTGAACACAAGACTGCAAACTCAGGAACCTTCACGACACAAAGCAACAGACTCAGATGCTGGAGAAGATACTTCAGGGGAGAAGCACTGGCTCCAGCACCCCTCAAGGGAGAAGCTGTCTCCCCAGCACTCTGGTCACAGTTACCCACCTTCTCGCTGTCATTCTCGGTAAATTTATTCAGAAGCCGGGTCCGCTGCTGCCCTCTCAGGTTGCGTAGGAGGGAAGCCAGGATCGAACAGACATGCTCTGGGGTGGGAAGGAAAGAAGAGAACACGTTGAGATCACAGCAGTAATTATTACCTTTTCAGCCCAGTCTGCTCTGTCAGAGGAGGAGAAAGGAGGCGTCAATGACTGAGACTATTGATTAATAAGACAAGAACCTCAATGGTGTCATCAGAAAACTAAATTTATCTGGGCACGCCGCACAGATACACAGTCAGAAGGGATGACATCCTCAAGGACAGAGTGAGCAAGGAGACCAGAGGGAGGTGAGAATTTCTATCTTGCCTGGAATTAATTGACTTGTATTGTCCACAACAGAATTTCACACTAATCCCCCACTTAGAGACAGGCCCTGTGAACAGAATACGAACACCAGCCAGGACACGAGTGAAGGATGAATGAGAAACATTCTGTCACTTCTCAAATTGCCTTGCAACTTTCCCTGGAATGAAATACAAAGTGTGATAGTGTCCAAACTCTGCTGAGCTGACCTCCACTTGATGTTGAGGGGGGCTGGAAGGTGAGCACTTCCCACTGTGCCAGCCTCCTTCACCCTGCAGCCCAGTGGCTTCCCTCAGACAGCGCTACCCCAGCCTTGCAAAGGAGACAACTGCAGGCTATGGTGCAGGCTTCACTTCTGAAGACAGTTTTCTCTTTAAGCAATAAAAGATTCCTGAGAGATGGCTCCGTGGGTAAAGGATGGCTGTGCAAGCATAAGGACCTGAGTTCACATCCCCGGAACCCACAGAGAAGCCAGGCATGGTAGAACACGTCTGCAAGCCTGGTGCTTCTACAGCGAGACAGAGAATCCCAGGAGCAACGAGGAGGGCTCCCTGGCATATACAGCAGCAAACAAGAGGTCCTGTCTCAAGCAAGGTAGAAAGTGAGGACTCTCACCCAAGGCTGTCTTCAAGTTCCACACGTGTGCAGTTGCACACACACATGCACACATGCACGCACGCACACCACAGTTTTAAAATTCCTTCAGCAATGACCTTGAATAGGAGGTCACAGATACCTACTCATAAGGAAATGACAAAGTTTATTCTGAAATAAATTGTTGGTGCTGGGGAGATGGCTCAGAGGTTAAGAGTGCTCACTGCTCTTTCAGAAGACCAAGGTTTGGTTCCCAGCCACATTGGATGGCTAACAATCGCCTGTACCTCCAGTACCCACACATACTTGGCATACACTCATGGAGACATGCACATATACACACTAAAAAGAGGGGGCTGGAGGGATGTGTCAGTGGTTAAGGGCCTGGGTTCAACTCTTAACACCAACATAGCAGCTCACAAATGCCTGTAATTCCAGTTCTAGGAGATCTGACATCCTCTTCTGGCTTCTCTAGGCACCAGGCACAAACACATTACACAGATATACATGGAGGCAAAACACCCATACAAGTAAGGTAACAAAATAATTTTTTAAAAATGGGAAAAATTTCTCAACATGGATGATATCTGACAATTGAAGAGCACCTTCATATGTAGGTGCTACCCAGAGTTCTGAGTTCTGTGACTGTGAACTTCAAAGAGCCACAGGGAAGCATCCCACATCTGCTGTGACATCCTGGGCTTGGGTCCGTCCTCCTTTGCTTATACCCCTCATGTCCCCAACTTAAGCCAGAAGCCTTTGTTCTCAGATATCTGTAGGGCTGGGTTCATCCTGTATTGTGTCTCATGTCTTTGGAAACCATTTACACACCGTGACTCACGAACTTGAACCTGTAGCCAGACCTGTCCTTTGAATGTCCTTTCGAGTCATACAGTCACTGCTTCTCCCACATACTTGTCTGACAGGTCTGTTCAGTGTAACCAGCTAATGGCAAGATCCTACCCTCCCTCTCCAGCCTGCTTCATTCGCTTCAGGCGACCAGGTTCTCAAGCCACACAGCAGATCCTTCATGAAGACACCGTTTTTAGCTCTCCCTCAGATGTGACTCCAGCTCTACACCACCATCACTGTCCCCCACTCGGGTCTGAATTACTCTCACCCCTGCCCACAACATGCCACAGCCCGAGAGCAGATGCCCTTGCTTTCATGCTTGTCCCTGGGCATAGTCTTCACAGGGCATGAAGATATTTCTTCAGCAATGGCTCCTGACCTACATCTGACTGCTGCTTCTGTTGCTGGGTGCTCCGCTTCAAGAAGCAACAGTCAGGCGAAGGCCAATGCAATCACCTTGGTGCTTACTCTTTAGACTCAGGGGCCTCAGCCTTCTCCAGTAGACTCCCTTGTCCACACTCTTTGAACATGCAAAGCTGCAACACGGCAGTTCTAGATCTCATTAAGCCTTCCTTCCCTCCACAGAAAGCGCCGAGTGTTACTGACTTTGTTCACCATCTCCTTCAATCAGAGTATATGCTGCTGGAAGGCAACGGCTCCAGTCTGCTTTGGTCACTGCTTACCTCTCATCCCCGCCCCGATTCCAGCCTGGCATATACAGGAGATATTTTGGGAAGCCTTGCTGAATGAATGGGAAGGAAGCAGACTCTCTGTAGGAAGACCATTACTGAGTTCTAGATGTCTTTAATGCCTTCATACCTCTAAGTAAAGCACCCAGTCCAGGTTCAGAGGAATGTGGCCTTGTATATGGAACAGAAAGAACCAGGTTACAGACAACCAACCAGGGCTCTGCTCTGGACAGGGCAGTAGCATAAGCAGGGACAGCTCTGAAGGGATAGTCAGGGAAAGCAAGGCCTCTGGGTGAGCCAGGAAGAAAAGGCCAGAAGGTAGAGGGTGTTACACTCACAATTCAAGTCAAGGCTAAACGAGCAGGTTGGGGCTCTGAGCCCTTCAGCTGGTGAACAGGTGTGAGAGAAGCCATAAAGAATGCAGTGAATCTCACATACTCAGCTCTAAAACTTTGAAATCACTTAGCACGGCAGCTGGGAACAACCTCTGTGTATACATATAAGGCATCTGACAACCGCAGAAGGAGACCGAACACCAGCCAGTTTTTATCCAGTGTCCAAAACAACCTCCTCTGCATGGATGGAAAAAGTCAGGCCCAGAGCACAGTGGAACATGCCCACAGCTAGCTGGTGCAGAGGGTAGACACGGTCCTACCTTTAGATGACAGACAGCCATTCACCACTTTGCTCTTGAGTGCAACAGGTGAGTGCCCAGGGCTCCAAACAACACAGCACCCCCACCTGAAGGAGCTCCTTACGGGAGGACAAATCAACTATTATAGTGCCCTGTGCAAGCTCAGTCACTTGGTAGGTATGGGACACTTGGGAGCAGAGGACATCTGCCTAATGCTTCCCACTGGAAGAAACAAAATTGAATCCTAAACCCTGGTAACCATGTAGAAGAGGAAAGAACATTCCAAGCCAGGGAAGCAAATCTATAAAGGCCTGGGTGGAGTGTCATGTGCATGTGGGGAATGGAAGACCAGCTGTGGGAAGTGACCAGCCACGACCACCAGTGACTTTAGAGTGGGCTGCAGAGACAAGATCACATCAAGGTCTAATCCCGTCTCAGCAGCTACATTTCCTTCTACAGACCAACCCTAGGAACATGTCTCTTTCCTGATGAATTGTTTTGTTTTTGTTTTTCCTTACCAATGTTCCCTCTATCTTGGCTATTAGGAAGCTGAAGGATGAATTCATGGTACCCAAAGGAAGCAGCATCCCTTATTGCTTTATTGTTGGTCCCAACAGAATGCAATGGATGCATGTGGTAAAAATGAAACTACACAAGGCACAAATATACTTTACTATTTATGTGTATCTATACTGGTATTTTTCTTTTCCCATTCTCTTCCCACTATCTTGCCTTCCCAAGAAAAAACTACAAAGTATCTTGTGTATATTCTCAAGAGAAAATTTATATTATATACATATATATCCCCAAATATAATATACTTCCTTTTTAAAATGGGTATGTAGAATGCTACTGAATTTAACTAGTGAGCCAATTCTGAATACTTTTGGCAGCTTCCAGTTTGAGGTTTTTTTCTTGTTATTAAGGGCAATGATAGTCACATATTCTGGCATACTTTTCTATGTTGTTTTTCCTCATGGCATAGTCTTAATAATGAGATACGTGACTCATGAAAATCACATACAAAATGTTTGATGTCATTTTGGGCCAGAGAGATGGCTCAATGGGTAAAGACAATTTTGGATGGAACCTCCAGTTCACTCCTGTGTGATCTGGAAAGCCCTATTCCTGACCCTCTCTTCAAACCCTGCCCTCAGGGCTAAAGTGATGGCTCAGAGGTTAAGAGCACTGACTGCTCTTCCAGAGGTCCTGAGTTCAATTCCCAGCAACCACATGGTCGCTCACAGCCATCTGTAATGAGATCTGGTGCCCTCATCTGGCCAGCAAGCATACATACAGACAGAACACTGTATACATAATAAATAAATCTTTAAAACAAAAAACAAGCAAACAAAAAACCTACCCTCTCAAAAAACCTCCCCCCCTCCCTTGTTGCTGCCAGCGGCCCAAGTCCTACCTAAGCATTCTCCAGCTTTTGACTACTTGGGCACAAACCCAGACTGTGGCAGACACATCATCACCCCTCGCTGACAGGCTATATAATCTCCCTGCTTTAGTTTGGGCATGCGGCTTCTCTGGCCTCAAGTTCTGGAACTGGAGAACCTGTCTGGGAGTTGCTTTGTGCAAATAAACCTGTTGTTACACTTTTTCAATTTGGCTTGATCTGGCCTACTGTATCAGTGGAGAAACCTATTATCCAGGTACAGAAAATCTATCAGACAACACGGGCATGCAAACCTGGAGAGATGAGTTCAGTCCCTGGAACCCACATAAAGGTGGGAAGGAAGAACTGATTCACAAAGTTTTCCTGACCGTCACATATGTGTTGGCGGTGGCACATGTGCCCTCCCCCCACATCATGTGTGTATGCACAAGAAATAAATAAAAATCTCTAAAAGGGATTGGTAGCTAAGTATCCATCCCCCTACACCCTTCCTCACAGTGCACACCATCCAAGAGAAATGACAACCAGACAGGTAGAACCAGACTGCCGCCTGATTAGCATGTGCCTG